TGGGGGGGGGGGGGGGGGGGGGGGGGGGGGGGGTTCAAAAGTTGAGGTGTTGATTGAATGAAATATGTTCTTTATTCACTTGGAAACTTGTTTTCAGATTCATTACAAGAGGTGAGGCACTTAATTGATAGATGCAAGCTTTTCAGGTACCCTATTGAACAAAAGGTCCACCAAACTCAATCGAGGACTATTTAAAACTAAGGGTTTGAGTGATATATTACCCTTGAGAGCATTTGTTTCGTTCTTGATGATATAGGTTGTGTTTTTCTGTCTGCAATTTCATCAATTGTAGAACCTGATGATTGTTGTTCCCTTTTATTTTTATCTGGAAGATTTGCAGATGCATCCCCATCTATACCGTTATTTGCATTTGTATTTCTAACTTCTTTTTTACATTAATTGAGCTCATCTTTCATAAACAGATGCAAATGGTTCCCTACGAATGCAAAAAGTAGAGAAAAGTCATGCCTGTTTATGAAAAGTTGGGAAGCTTAATGAGTAAGAAAGAACGTTTAGGATCAAAGTGCAAATAGAGGAATAGTTTTGGAAAATAGCTGCAAAATATCCTCTGGAAGTCGAAGATGACTATCAGCTCCAAAAATTACTGGCCGACATTATTACAGTTTTCATAAACTGATTTATAATCTAGGTCTTTTATATCCTAGAAAATAAACCTAGTCTTTACATCGTATTATTCTAGATACCGTGACTTTATAATGCAATCGTATTCTTTGGTCCAATTGTTGTTTTTGTTTTTGTATTCCTAATAAAATTCGGAATGAATAGCATCCATTGTCTAATGGATTCCTAGGTCTTCTAAACTTGGCGAATGGTTTGTTCTTCCCGATCGGAGTAGGTAGGTTTATTCCTTCCCTAAGAACTATGCTTGTGCTTTGATCGGGATGAGCAAAAGAGAAGTTAGAATTAATTCCCATTTATCTACTTTGAAAGAACTTAGAAAGGTCTAATACCACTACGAATTTTAGGATTTACCGAGTTCATGTTCTAGATTACAAATTATCCAATTTTACCTTATGTTCAGAATAGTTAACTAAAGCAACAAGTCACTTTAATTAATTGTCTAGGTGATTAATTATACAATTCAATTTGTCCTAAGTTTAAATGTTGCATGTACAATTTGGCAAGCATTAAAAAGAATAAAGAACATCGAAGTTGTTGACGGAGAAATCCAACGTGGGAAAAAACTCTAGGACTAAGTCAGTTACGTTCACTATCGACAATTCAGAGCATACAATGATTCTCCTATCATGTATCCGTTAAGATCCGCTGCCACAGCCTTACGATTTACTGTCGCAGACACCTCTAGCCTTCTACTGTTGTAGATTTCTCTAGCCTCTTGTTCTATCTCCTGCAGCTCAATCTGCTGTCTCCTACAATCTCATGGTTTGTAATGAACGTCTCTCCAAGTAGAATACCAAGAACCACCTATTCTTGTGCTTGTAACTGTGCTTCGATCCACTTCTTTTAATCTCCCAATGAGAGAGTCTCTTCCTTACAAAATTAAAGAAGCTCGGTGTTTTGGGTTATGAAGATTGATGTTTTTTTCCAAGACAATGGTTGCCGGATCACAAGATCGATATGTTGAATTCAATGTTTGAAGCTCTCTTGGATCTCTTCAATATGTTTAGAAGAAGATATCAATGTGAGGTACAATGTAGCAACCACTCAAAATTCGTGCTTGGGCTTAGGTATTTATATCTGAAGGTGTCAAGGTGGTATGGGCAGAATAAAACACTTCAAAAACATGAATTTGGGGTTTTGCCACATAGGAATGTGGCTCAAACCAGAGCTGGCGAGAATCGAGTGAGAGGTATTCTATTTTTTCGCTCGAGAGAAATGTCAGCGAGAATCGAGCGACAATAAGCAATCATTGGTATTTTCATCATAACTTTCTTTTCTGATGTTCGATTGAGGTGATTCAACTTGCGTTGAAAAGATAAGTCAAAGAACTACAATTCTTGAAGAAATAGCCTTGTCCAAATTCCAACCTTTTCTAAGTGAAAATGCGTTTCAAGTTACGATTGAAAATCCAGAACATAATTTGTGCGGCTCTTTGATATCTGTTAGACTTTCAATTGCATTCCAATGATCTTATGTGATCTTCTTGGACATCTTGGACTCCTTCAACCACTCGAACACTAATTTACCTCATCTATACAAAATTGCATCATAAGCCTCTGACTTTTACAACAATGTTCAATTGAGTTTTTGACTTTTACAAATATACAATTAAGCCTATTTTGTCTATAGAATTGCCAACCACGCTTTCAGGCCTAATAAACTCCCTCTTTGGCATTCTATGACGAAACCATACACAATAAATCAGGACTATATAAATATAAGTCGGGACTCTAGATACAATCTATTCTACCCTGTAAACCCAATCACTAAGTCTTCTATTCCTTGTACCTATCTCCTGAAATCTACAAACTCATATGCCCAGTGTAAAAGCACGTGACATAAGAAATATAAACATTAAAGCACTTAATCGCAAACATGCTAGTTTAAGACGTGATATTAATGTCAATCAAAACACCAACACCACTAAATATCAAAACTTAAACATAAATTGATATAATATGGAATGCAGTGCAACGCTCTCCCTTACTTCAAAATCTCATAAATGTTATGCAATAAATACAATATAACTATGTCTCTCCCCAACGACCCGTAGACATAGCAATGCAAAATACAAGTAATGTCAATCAGTGAAATCAAGTGCACATGCAAATGCAGTAACTCTCCTCCTATGTGTTTGCTCTTTTATATGCTTTTCTCCCCTTCAATTACACTTCTCTCTCCCCCTTTTCGTCACAAATGCTGAAGGGAATAATATCAAGAACAAGCTGAGCAAATAACACACAATAACTCAAAAATGCTATTAATAGCATACAAATGTCAAATCAATAATTCATAGACCTTTCCATATACTCAGTTCAGACAATAATGAAGTAAGTAGTACAAGTGACTCATGTGTGTAAATTGTCACTAATCCAATGCAAATAGGACTCCAAACCTTAATTTTGTGAGAAGGGACATGTCAATCACTGCTAATAAGTGTATTCTCCTACTAATGAAAGTAAAATCATGTAACGTGTAGTATGACCAAAACTTTTTTTCTCTCCCTTACTTTGAGCATTTATATTTTTCAATTTTCCTCAATTTTTAGCTCATCAAATTTTCACATTTTTCATATTTTTCAAGCTCACTTATTTTTTATCTTAAGTGCAGGTTTTTCTCCATTAGGCGACTAAAATGACTCTGTAACGAGCTTTAAGCCAATTAACCCAAGTCAGGCACCGGGTTTTAAAAGACCCCATAGGCTTAAATACTCTAGTCAAATAGGCCCCGAGGAAGAACATTAAAATATTGAGCTTTTTATAAAATGGGGAATATTTTTGGGCTTAGATCTGATAATATTTATTAATTCATGTTCAAAGTCACCCTATTAACATGATACAGCCATCCTAAATCTCACATACGCGATAGAATCCCATTAACAAATTCATAATGTGTGCAGTGCAGATTACCACATAAAGACACCTATACTAAGTAATCCATAATGACCTAAACAAGTAATGAAAATTATTTTATAGCTTATCAATTTTAACACATACATGATTACAACTTGCAAGTTCAAGAAACATATGTTATGTTGTAGACGTGTTCCATAACAAATTGTTTTTTGTGTTTTTCTATTTTTCAATTTATTTTTTATTTTGTATTTCTCATTTTCCCAAAAGAAAAAAATAAAACCAAGTACACAAAACAAACGCAAAATGCATGCACCAAAGCAAACCAATTGAAATGCACATGCATGAAACCAAAAACAAAGCAAAAGAAACATAAACATATACAATTGATGCATGCAATCATCATATGACAATTAAGAACAGACATGCATAAAAGACTACCTAATCAGTTAGATATATAAGTGCTCTTTTCCTTAAGAGCACCATGATCCATTTCCAAATTCTGCAGATCACTCTTCTTCACCCAAACCTGTCTAGTGGGATAACAGCTCCTAGATAGTTGTGTCACCAACTTGGTCAAACGATTCACTTGTTCAATAAGGAATCCAAACCGACCAACAGATACCTAGTTTTTGTTTCCATATAAGTGCATCTTCCTAGTTTTGTTCAAGTGCTAATGACATTTATGGTGGATGTGACCTAATTCTTCACAATAAAAGTATGCTGGGATAAACCTTGGACCTGTGTTATGTGTTCTCTAGCGTCGATGGGTCTCACGCTGTCTAGTAGACATGTGTCCTACAGATCCCTTAACCTTAGGTTCGGGGTTAAGTACATGTTTAGGCTAGTCAGAAGTAGGGACAAATGTGGTCTAAATGTGCTAGCAGTATCATCATGTTTACCCATGTATCCTAGACCTCCCTTATTTTCAACAGGCTTGCCTATTCCTAGAAGATTATCTAGCTTTGACGAACCACTAATGAATGCAAGAAGTTGAGACTTTAAGTGCTCTAAATCGCTCCCAAATTTCACAACCTAGATTCGTAAAGATTCATTCATGGCGGTCGACTCACTGACTTTCCTAGAGGACCTCTCAAGCTCGCTGGTGAGATTTTTGACCTGAGACTCTAAAGCTTCATTCATCGACATAAGTTCACTCAGGACAGTGGAAGATTCCTTAACGTACGCCTCTAACTTAGCTTTCTCTGATTGCAACTCTTGAATAGTCGTACTTAAAGCCTTGTTTTTATTGAGAATTTTCAGGGTTTCCTGATACATCTTCTGATAGGCCTCTTTGATATCTTCATCACTCACAGATTCATCTCCAGAATCCTTATCACTATCTAAGTCCTTGTCTCTAACACTCCCCTGTTCAAATCTACTCTTAACTCTAATTACAAAGGCAATGTATTTTCCACTCTCTTTACGCGTGGATTTTTCACTCTGATTGTTCAAGCT